ATGCTTTAGGATACTTATGTTCTCATTTTCTCGTGTAATCCAAAAAAAGGAATATAATGAGGTATAGCGATAATCTTTAATCGATCAGGGAATATAAAGAGATATAGTGGAGATAGTCTATGATCGATCGTGAATAATGCATGATACATGTGAGATGTGGTTTAGCGGTTCATCTACAATTAATGCTTAGTGTCCCCTTTAACGTTTGTATGAGCAAGTACGTTAGTTTCTGAGTGGCTGTATCTAACCAACTAAACCAGCAGTCGGTGTCGGTGTCGGTGTACATCAGTTGGAGTAGGCCTCCTACATTGGTGAAAATGAATAATAGTGGATAATGTTTTATAGTTTGCATACGCAAGTACAACACTTCTGTAAAGGCTGTATTTAAACCAAATCCACAAGCACTCAGTATGTTCCTACAGACATCAGTGGCACTACGGATCTTACATTGATGAAGATGGTAATGCTACCGTAATCCGGTATCTGGCCCCTACAGCGGTAACTATGGATACGGAGCCAATTCAGGGGAACCAGGCACTGTTTGGTTGGAAGCGGAGTTCAAGAGCTGAGTAGATGGTTCCTGATCAGGAATGCCTTCAACTGACACCACAAAGGAAATGATGACAAGGGATAAGATATTAAATGATGGACAACGTCAGATAGCCAATGCAGTAAGCCTTTTTTTTTCTTTTTTCTTTTTTAAGGTGGGGGACATTCTGAAGAATGAGCTGGACAGGGCAACTGTTTATATGTCTATATCACGTTTGGTTCAACTGTCTCTGACTCCTGATGGGAAAGGCTTCTGATTGATGTCTTTCTTGAGAATGTACATCGTTTTGGAGAACAGCTAGGTCTATTGTTTATCATGTTCATTTGGTGCTGGAAGACAAAGAACCATGATCTCTGTTGTACAATAGACCCCGACGTGGTGAACAGGAGCAAGTCTTTGACTTTCTATTCTCCTTTCATGTTGAATGACATATTCTACGGTCATAATTAGATCTTAGAGTTCTAACAGAATATGCGAGGCCTTCGTCCACTGCCACAAGCAATAACACATTTTCACTTTAACGAGTTGTTCTGCAGAGCTAGAGGTCCCTGTCGTATGAAGATTTGAAAGTTCCATTTAGAACAAAAACTCTTCAGAGGAAGTTTTCTTTTCGTGTCAAATAACACAATTGTTTCACGGTGTGCGTAATAATATCTCATTAATTCCCGGGGCGGTGGGGTAGCTTAGTGGTTATTGCGTTCGCTCGTCACACCGAAGACCCGGGTTTGATTCCCCACATGGTTACAATCTGTGAAGCCGATTTCTGGTGTCCCCCGCCGCGATATAACTGGAATATTGCTAAAAGCGGCCTAAAACCATACTCACTTACTCAACCGTTAGTTGCCCAGCCACGACACGAGTTAAAATGGCAGTTTAGAACTTATTATCAAAGTTTAATTAAAGTGAACCTAGTTTAGACATATAGTGTTAGTTCAGAAACGATGAGCTATTTAGTCAACAGAAATTGCGATAAACGGAAACAAAAGATAAGGACACTGACAGAAAGTCTAACACAAACGTCGTGCGTGTGTTGTCCGCTTTTCGCCTGAAGATCAATAGTGGTCTCGCATTGTCATTTTGCAGCTGACATTTTTTTGGTGATAATTCTACAGAATTGGACAACAAGAGGACAAGGAAACAATTACATCAACATGCCGCGTATGGGTGTCCTTTGATTCGTCTGTAAACAAGGCGAAGTACCACTGGCGCACGGCCTGACAGACGCCAACCTTCGCGGCCTATTATAGTGTCACTACCTTTTGACACCTTGCTTTCAGGAGGATTCACAAACGTTTTTGGATTTTTTTTTTAATGTTGAATCTTGGCGTTCGTAATTTTGTATTAGGACAGGATTCTCTCACTAACTGCGGCGAGTTTAAATCTTTTGCTTGGTCGAATTACAGTAATGAGACAATCGTGTATATCAATATTGTAGGTGGCATACGGGATTTCATTGCAACCCCATTCTTTTGATGGTATTTGTCTTTGTCCCACAATCCAACAACATTTTTGATTTGCAAAGTTTCGGGCATGACGCCACAACCACTGTTCTACCCAGTCGCCAGTTTGTCTGTTCATTTAGGTACTGCCTCACAAGTAATTGAAAGAGAGTTTCTTGGCTCAGTTCCATGTTGCGATCGAGAGATCCCCTGCGGTCAAACTGAGCATGGCTTCAGTGTGCGGGTGCGTTGCGTGTTGTTCAGATAGATATAACAGATAGTCACAGGCAAGTTAGTCACTACCATTTTTGTCATTTATCTACACATGATGTTTCATAGTAAAATTCAAAATCTGATCTTCCCTTGTGTGTTATACTGATGAAAGATCCATCACACAGATTGGCTCTCCAATCGGAGGAGGATGTTCAGTATGGACCAATAGAACCTTAAAAGAACGGTAGAATGTTTGTACGTTCATTCCAGGTTTTATAATATGTCAAGGTCTATATCGTTAGGTCTACACGTTAGTGATTATGGATGTTTTACGCCACTTTGGCACAAGTCTAGCAACATTACGATGGGGGGACACCAGATTTGTGCTTCTAACATGTATGGGGAATCGAACCAGGGCCTTCAGCATAACGTCCCAAGGCTTTAACCACTAGGCAACCCCTTTCCCCTGGCCCTGACCTTCAACGACAGGAAAGCTTATTCCTAGGGGTAGGAGTAGACTAGCCTCAAGTGAATTGGATAGTCACAATGTCTCAGTGGCTTATGTGTCATCATACACGCACAATCTATCTTTGCTCATGTTGTAACCAATGGCCCAGACATGATATCATAAACGATATCACCCGTGAAGATCCGTTTTTGAACTGGTCTTCGGGAAAAAATGCTTCTAGTTAGATGCGACTAACGGAATTGGGTGGCCAATTCTGTAGATCAATGCTCATGCTGTTGATCACTGGATTGTCTGGTCCAGACTCGATTATTTACAGACCGCCACCATGTAGCTGGAATATTGCTGAGTACACAGTTTAACAACAAACTAACAAGACAAAACCAATCATAAACGACCGAGAGTGACTTAACTCACCAGGTCTTTTGATTGGAATACATACGAAAGACTTATAAATGAACAAAGTACTTCTCAAACCTGTGTGAGGAAAGGCAAGGGATGACTGACTGACTGAGTTTGGTTTTACGCCGCTTTTAGCAATATTCCAGCAACATCACGGCGGGGGACACCAGAAATGGGCTTCACACATTGTGCCCATGTTGGGATTCGAACCCGGGTCTTCGGCGTGACGAGCCAACGCTTTAACCATTAGGCTACCCCACCGCCCAAATCATAAACGATATCGATAGAATATTGGTGACTTCAGCTCATACAGCAATCGCTATCTAACGTGTGATTCGCTGTAAACCCTTACTGAATCCTTTCCACACTCATAAGAATTCCGCACCAAAAGAAGAGTTGACTTCAAGACTCCAACCATATTATGAGCATGAGGTGTTCGCTAACAATATGAGCTTACCATGTTTCATCGGAGGAACCGTCACAAGTACATGCTAAGACAAATCAAATACCCACTCGATGAAACACAGAACCCTAAACAGCAAATTGCACTGGACACCTTCCCTGCTCAACAACCGGGAACGTCCTTCACGTGTCTACCATAAAACTTCCGGGAAGCTCCACTGAGACTCCAAATAACGCAACAGCAACATAAACGCATGCACTCTCACTTCAGCGATCATCACATGTGCCATTAGCACCTACTTGTAATCTGAAAATATGACCATAAAACTCAAACGTGGCTGTCAGCACACATGCAATTTTATTGCCCACATGGGCATTCGTTCAGCGACAGTTTTTCGCTACACCTCTACACGCACAAATTTGCTCACAGTACATCTGGGTTCAATTTACCTATTAAACACAAGGGGGCAGGTCAAAGCAGCAGGATTATTGTCTTAACTGTTGGGTCAATTTGCCGGTGTTTCCTTAATGTAAACCCTTGATTGGAGTAGATAGTGTTACTAAAGCGGAATAATTGCTCATTGACAGAAGCTATGGCCAACACATGCTATTCCAAATGACTGAGAGTCACATGAGCGTATAAATCCAGTTGACGTGTTCATTTGAGTCGGAAACAGTAAACCTAATCAACCATACCTTGACCTTGACTTCTGAAAGCTTCATAATGTTTGCCAGAGTTGTATTTACCTGCCACTTATCCAAACAAGCCAACTTGCTGTGTGTCGAGGTAGAGGTTACACAAACTGTTGAGATATGTATGTATGCGTGTTCTAACTTGGCGGAAGGACCCAAAACAACTTCTCTAGCAGAGTTAATTGTTTGCTGTTCATTCTTAATTACATACCAACATGCCTGTCTATTCACACTAAAGTTATTGGCACGACGGTGTATGCATATTTTGGTTCAATTGGACAGTGTAGGGTCTTAGGCTAAAAATATGTTTAGCCACAAGTATTTTAGCAAGGATGTATCTTGTCACTACAGATATTAGAAAACAGATGAAACGGACACAGAGTCGTATCTGATTACCAAGAACACTATTTTCTTTGTTCGCCAGTTTTATATTTTATTTTACAAACTTGATCCCTCTTATTTAGCCTTACTATCGGAGAGATTGAAAAGACAGACTATATTCACGTGTGTGTCCTTAAAATTAAAAATCAACAACTTTTTGCTACCCGACTGCGATCTGCAAAGTATCGAGTCTGGGAAGGACACTCCAGAATTGACTTCATAAGCATCCATCTACTTAATTACGTTCCACGACTTGTATCAAGTCAAGTTACCTGACCACCCGATCCCGTAACTCGATCGCCTCTTGCGAAAACTTCGGTTTCGGGATACGAACACTAAACCTGATCTTGACGTGACCGCGATATTTGTGGTTATCTGTTTAACAACTGTTACATGCATGAATGACACTTACAGTTATGTTACTTGAAACTCTATTTTCATGTTTCTGTTGCAGGCTTACCGCCGGAGTTGTACGCCATATGGGAGTCGTATCCATGGAGATTTGGGGCAGCCTTCTGTATACTACGTCACTCAGTTATGGAGATGACGTCATATGCGTCGGTCCTGACAATCACAGCCTTCACCGTGGAGCGTTACGTGGCCATTTGCCGTCCTCTTCAGGCACACCGTATGGCGGGTCTGTCCCGATGTCTCCGGATTATCATCTCCATCTGGGTTGTCTCCATCCTCGTGGCCCTCCCTTTCTCCATCCACACCCGCGTGTTCCACGAGCTGCACCACCCCATCACGAAAGAACCTATCCCAGAATCCCTCATCTGCAACATCCGGATTGAGTGGCGGGAAAGGATGACGTACATGTTCCAGATCTCCACCTTCCTGTTCTTCGTCACCCCCGTCGCCGTCATCATCTGCCTCTACATCCTCATCGGCATCGCGCTCAGGAGGTCCCACCTCGGGCGAGGTCCGTCGGATGAAATAAAGTGTAGCAGCAACAAAAACAAGCCCCCATCCCAGTCGAGGAGAGTGGTGATTCGTATGTTAGGTACGTGATACATGTTATCTGACAAAAATATTCAGGATTTACTTTAATCAAAACTATAAATTGGGAAATGATCAAATTTACGCCAAGAGTCAATTGTATACCTGAAAACTTCTGAAGGTAACATTACTCTCTAACAGTAACAAATGATGTCCATTATATCATATAATAGGGGTAGCCTAGTGGCCAAAGCGTTCGCTCGTCACGATGTTCGATTCCCCACATGGGTTCAATGTGTGAAGCCCAATATTGCTAATATAGGCGTAAAACCACTCACTCAAGTTCAAATTCACACTATATGTAGGGGACACCAGAAATGAGCTTTAAGCATTGTACCCATGTGGGGAATCGAACCTGGCGAACGCTTTAACCACTAGGCCACCCCACCGCCCCAAGTTACAGGTGAAATGATACTTGGAATGTTTCACTTTGACTACCCTTTATAATCACAACGTATGTACCGAATTTCAAGTGAATAATGCCTGTTTTCCTCGCTTCAGTTGCTGTTACAGTAGCCTTCATCCTGTGCTGGGCGCCCTTCCATGCCCAGAGACTGATGGTTCTGTACGTGTCCACGTGGACCCCGTTACTGATGAACGTGCAGAGCACGCTATTCTATATATCAGGTGAGCTTATATATTTTTGGTTTTGGTGCCAATGTTCAATTTTTCACACATCTAAAGGTGTTTATTACATGTTGTTAAGCCACCAGTGACACACGAAAACATCGAGGCTGAAGAAAATTGTTTGCAAAGCACAAATTTTAATGTACACTTACCTTTTTAGATCCATCTTACGTACCACTGCGTATTTTCATAGATATGAATGCATTCTTACCACCCACTATTCGTGACGTTTTCTCCTCGTTTAAGCCCACACATGCTTAATACGTCATCTGAGCAACCCACCGCTAAAATACGTTCGCATTTAGAATAGCATGACACAACGATTGTAAATGAGGTAAATAGGATGGGTTAGGATACCTTCTATGAAAACAAGTTTCTGCGCTTGACAAAAAAAAAATGACGCTTTCCTATGCTTTGAGTTTGCGAATGTGGCACAAAATATGAAGAGCAGTAGGGTTAGTAGTAGTAGAAGTAGTAGTAGTAGTTATAGTAGTAGTAGTAGTAGTAGTAGTAGTAGTTCCAGCAGCAGCTGTAGTAACAGTAGTAGCAGGCGTAGTAGTAGTATGGAACAGCAACAGCAGCAGCAGTAGTAGTAGTAGTGGTAGTAGTAGTAGTAGTAGTAGTAGTAGCAGCAGCAGCAGTAGTAACAGTAGCATTAGTAATAGTAGTAGTAGTGGTAGTAGTAGTAGTAGTAGTTCCAGCAGCAGCTGTAGTGACTGAAGTAGCAGGCGCAGTAGTAGTAGTGGTAGCAGCAGCACCAACAGCAGCAGTAGTGGTAGTAGTAGTAGTAGTGGTGGTGGTGGTGGTGGTGGTGGTAGTAGTAGTAGTAGTATGTAATTAATGGTAGTAGGCTTTTCGTTAAAATATCACTTGTGATTATAGAAAAGGTTTTATTGTTTTTTATTTCATTAACCGTAAATTAAGAGCATCGTTCAAATCTGGACCCCTTCTGTTTCAGGTGTCTTGTACTTCGTCAGCTCCACCGTCAACCCCATCCTGTACAACGTCATCTCGCGACGTTACAGAGGCGCCTTTAAGGAAACCATCTGTTTCTGCTGTTACAAGGCTGGTGCGTCTTCCTACACCAGCAGTGTATTCAAAGGCAACCTGGACAAACCACTCAAACAACCAATGGTGGTTGTCAAAGCTGACGGTGATAAACTCCAGCCCACATACCACGACCATAATGCTTTGCTGCATCCGGTTGCGAACGGCAATGTGCCAGAGTCGTTGAAGACACGGCTTATTGACGAGAATTTTGACAGAAAAATAAACGATGCCGATTTCCACTACGTTAAAAACGTGAACTCCTGTGTTGCTTGCGATACTTCTGTGAATGGATATCATTCGCCTTGCAGAGCCGCTTTGCTGAAAAACGGATTTTGTGATGTGAGTCGTTCGTCGTTGAACTGTGTTCTATTGAAACACGGAACCGTGTTGTGAAATCTATTATTCAACACTCTCAGAATATGCACTGGTGTATAATTCTGAAAATAAATGGAATTAACCTGAAAATGACAAGTGTTTGAGTATATGTGATTCTCTTGATAAAACCCTTTCGTGCGCAGAGGGAGGACAAAGAAAGCATACACAAGTGTGGATGTTGTTACATTACGTTGGTAGTAATTTTTGTTTAGGAGAACAACTTATTACGCATTTGGCATGTTCAGCTAACGATAAACGTTCGGATTAAGTGAGTGAGTTTGGTTTTATCCCGCTTTCGGCAATGTTCCAGCAATATCACGGCGGGGGACACCAGGAATGGGCTTCACACATTGTACCCATGTGGGGAATCGAACCCGGGTTTTCGACGTGAGGAGCGAGCGCTTTAACCGCTAGGCTACTCCACCGCTCCCGTTCAGATTAAGAGTTCATCGTATATAGTGTCCCTGTGAACAATACGTATATGTTCTTGTAACATGTGAAGATCCGTAAAGGCAAGAATGTTATGGATGCCAACTTCTTTGTGATGGATAGCAGTAGAAGTAGAAGCCGTAAAGTCTTGTCCATCACAAATAAAGAAGATGGCATACATAAAATTCTTGCCTTTATGTGTATCACTTCTAAATGCCGTTCAAACATTCGTGAAGATCCGTGTAGTATTGATCTTCAGTAAGCCATGCTTGTCGTAGGAGGCGACTAACGCGCCAAGGTGGTCAGACTCGCTGACTTGATTGACACATGTCATCGTATTTCAATTGCGTAGATCGATGTTCATGCTGTTGATCACTGGATTGTCTGGTCCAGACTCGATCTCTTTTACAGACCGCCGACATTTAGCTGGAATATTGTGGCGTTAAACACCAATCAATCAATCCATATATGTCCTTGATGTTCATGCATTGAGTGGTATTTCAGGCGAATACGACTTACGGAACGTTCACGTTCCCGTCGTTTGTAACGTCAACGTTTATTTGAATCAGTATGGTGACAGATTATGAAGCCACACCACATGGAGAAAACATTCCAAGGACAGTTTGTGGAACAAACACTATTTTGAGTCAAGAATCCGTGTACAAAAAAGCGATAATGATACAATTATTTTCAAAGAAATACATTTCCAATAAAATGACACGCATTTACTCAAATATACATCTATTATTTTGTAACTGCTGTATAGAAATAGTTATTTGATGACCCTCGCAGTGGCATCATGACATCTTCTGACTCAGTAAATGCCACCATCTTGAAACATAACATTTTGTATGACCTTTTCATGAGGTATTGATGATATCTTAGATACTTGATCTTTCTTCTAAAGATATTTTGGAAAGGTATACATGGCATTACGTAGAAGTGCTGCTTAACCTTTTCTGGGTTACCAATGATCATTTATCTGATCTGGTATTACAAAAAGTGTGTCCACATTGTGGCAATATGATCTAAAGCTTACATTCGGACGTTGAAGACACTGAAGAAACTGTTTTTATTGATTTAATGCAGATTAGGACATGGTTGTCAAGCCATGCTTATATACACATAGATATATGCAAAAACAAAGCAGTGCATGGTATCAAGGTAAGAAGAAAAGGATGATCAGTTAGCGCCATCAAAGTTTGTTGTTGCAATGATGAAACTGTGTATGTACTATGTTATAGAGGATTGGTGGCCTTCTGATATTAGCGGCGTACGTCTAAACTAACATAACTTCTAATACATTCCACCACCACCACCACTATTAAGAATAAGTATAATAAAGAACACAACATTGAAATCGAGATTCAGGTTCATCATGCATGCATTCAGGCACAAATTGCCGGCTTGAATGGCAACCGTTCACTTGTTTTCTGAACACAGCAGCTATGACTAGCTATAGGTTAACGACAGATGTTGGTGGACGATATGACGGTCCTTGCGACGTGTTGTTACACGGGTCGACCATAAGGTGGACGGTCATCAGTGCAGTTGTATCACTGTCTAAGACGTTCTATCGTTCTAACTGAAGTCATTAGCAATGACTCGAGCACGTTGACCAGCATGCATGATGCACGTGCATCTCGATTTCAATATTTTGTTTGTGCGAACTCTTCCCTTTCCACAAACAAAAACATTTCAAACCTCAATCTCAAACAATACTTTATTGAGCAATACAGGCTGTACGACCACGATTCAAGTTTTAAATGTGACTACCGGGGTTTATTTTATAAAACAATATGTTCAAATACTCCATTGATACTTAAATGTCATTTCCAATATTACAATATTATTCCAATATTATTTCTGTTGCCTTACGGTATATTAAGGTCAGAATCCAGTAATCACTCCAGTATTCGGCGATGCAACTTTAAAATGACACGTAAGATAATACAATTATACAAGTATGTACATAAAGTTCCATACGCAGTGTGTGTTCTTTTAAAGAGGAAGTGTTAACATTGCGTTGATGATAAGATTTTGTTAGGAGGCTAAACACGGCACAGGGAACACGCGCAACGTTCCATTCTGCACACGGAATTTAACGTTTCTGGCAGTCGTAATTTTACCCTTTCGCTACATGGTGCAAAAATAATGGCATCCATGACCACGATGTGAGACTTAACTCACAACAGTGTCCTGTATCTTTGACTTAGCACAAACCATGTCCGGAATCTGTGCCTCAGCAGAAACATAAACCGGAAGCTGTGACTTAACGCTGGATAACGCCAGTATTTAACTTACCACACAGAAAAATGTCCTGAATTTTAAACCCAAAGAAAGTTCCTCAATCTGTGGTTTTACACAAATGAATTTCCTGATTACGTGAAACACACACAAAGAACACAAAGGAAGTTCCTCAATCTGTACTTTTACACAAATGAATTTCCTGATTACGTCACAAGCTCTCTCTCTCTCTCTCTCTCTCTCTCTCTCTCTCTCTCTCTCTCTCTCTCTCTCTCTCTCTCTCTCTCTCTCTCTCTCTCTCTCTCTCTCTCTCTCTCTCTCTCTCTCTCTCACACACACACACACACACACACAAATGTCCTGAATCTTAAACGCAAACTAAGGTCCTCAATGTGTGGTTTCACACAAATGAATTCCCTGATTACGTGACTCTTTAACCTGTGATTTAACAACAGCACTGGGGAAGCTTAAAGGTTAAGAAATGTGTTCGTCAGTTCTGTATCCATCCCGTGACCTACCAAAAATATCAAAAATGTATGACGATCCAAAATAATGTCCTCAAAATTAATACAACATAATACCCTGAACATATGACCAAACAAATGCTTTCTGAATCTGTGACTAAACACACAGAATTGTCGCCAATCTGTGGTAAGAATGTGTTTTTTTCTTCCTGCAGACAAAACACAAGTATCACAAACGTTGAACTCGCAATGTTGGCCATTATGAGATGAGTGGTTATTTTCAAATGACAATTTCTTCCATATCGCCATTTACACATCTGCTCAGGAATGGTAAAACATGGTCATTCTAAACGCACTAATCCAAAACACCACGAAGTACTGCATAAAACGAACAAAATTAGCGTCATCTGAAATAATGCATAAAATGAATACATTCAGTTCTCCCGGAAGACTTGTGTCTGATTTGCTTTTCTTAGTCGTAAGGCAGCACGGACGTTAACGAGCTATATCTTGCACATTCTCAGTGGTATTGCGTGATAGGCGTTGAGTCCGTGGAACATCACGACTAGTCTGACAGGCAGGCTTTTCATAATTTCCCTGAAGAAAACGCTGGCCTTTCTGGTAACTTGAGTCATTGCTCCTGAACGTCAAACGCCTGAAGGAAATATGTGGCACTGTGGCACTTACATGACACCAACATGTAATCTGTATAGTGCATAAATGTATTCACCAATATATGTTCAATTCAGCAGCATTCAAAGGCTGTTGGGTAGTGTGAATGTTGATCTTTGAACAGTTATGACAGCAAATAAGTCATTTGTTTCATGTGTTTTTGTATACTCGGTACAGTTCAGGAAAGTTGATGAAAGCGCTCGTAATTTTTAATTTAACAGGCACGTCAATCACTTTACTGTATAGGTTAGTTTGGGGTAATTTTTGTAAAAACGTAAATGTATAACTTCTATAAAGCCATTCACAACGTCAAATTCAACATAGTTAACGTCCATTCTGCCCTGGAAAATATAATCAGACCTCCGAGGCTTCCAGTTTCGTTACGTATTGAACGTAATAAAATGAGGAATTAAAACGCTTCCCTTGCAAGCACTGATCCTTAGTGGATACCTAATCCGATAATCGAAGGTTCTACTCCCGGTTTTGTCCTGCACAGCAGAGAACTTTGTTTTTAAAAGTGATAATGTCTTGTAATACTTTTGTTATCGTTTGATATTTATTTATCATAAGGATCTCTACATAACGATTATTAAACGGTAAACATGACTTTATGTGTTACTAGTGTTGCAGATGTTTTAACTGCATGTATTTCATTGTTTAAAGCCGGCAGAAAACGTTTTGGAACGAACATGTCAGACAAGTACCAGTTATAAAGTGCCTAGTGTTCTCCTAATGCCAAGATTGCGATCATACGAATTTTAACCACGTCTACCGTGGAAGAATTGACCAGCATATATTCACACAATAAATGTTACCAAATACAGTGGAAAGTGGGAACTTTTACAGGTCAGAACTATAAGTCGAAAGTAAGTTAAATCATATTATATCGACGTCTTACGAATATTACTTCCATTGCTCAAAACAAGCTGATGTCGATATATAACTGTAGTGACGATACAGATTCTGCTGTAACTTCGGCTTAAAAAAGGTATCGAGACAGACACACAGACAAGAGCTCATTTCCCAATCAAGTCATTTTGAAACTGTTAAACATGACTGAACATTTTAGACAACCTTCTCCTCCTCGGTAAACCGGGGCGGCGGGGTAGCCTAGTGGTTAAAGTGTCGCTCGTCACGCTGAAGATCCGGGTTCGATTCCCCACATGGGCACAATGTGTGAAGCCCATTTCGGGTGTACCCCGCCGTGATATTCCTGGAATATTGCGAAAAGCGGCGTAAAACTAAACTCACTCACTCACTCCTCGGTGAACCATTATG